ACGCCATAGGGACAGCACCGGGTGGAGGGATGTATCCCAGCTCCACAGCTGTCCTGTCCTCCCCAGGGGACGATCAGAACCCCCAGCCTCCTGGAGGCGTTTGTCTGCAGAGCCCCTTCTCCCTTTGCTTTACAGGGCAAGAGCCCATCAACATGCTCGGGATTGTCTTGGGTGTCGGGCTGGCCTTGCTGATCCTGGTGCTTTTTGGCTACACCTTCGTCTGGTGGTACCAGAAGGGCCAGTGCTGGCGCCGTGAGTACGGGCAGAGCAGGGGGACGGGCAACAGCAAGGCAGGGAGGTCTCAAAAGAAAAGGGCTGCAGGGCCCAGGACGTGGGGAGCACACCTGACGTTTGCTGGTCCCCGGGGGCTGGGGAAACCCGTGTGCAGGGTGGCTCTGGGGCAAGCTGGGGGCATGCAGAGGCTGAGCAGGGGGTTGCACAGTGATGTCCTGGTGCAGCTAGCTGTCCCGTGGGCTGTCCTGCCCATCACCACGCCGCTGCACAGGCTCACGGCAAAGCGAAGGTGAGTTCACGGCACCACATGGCTCTGACACCTCTCCTTCCCGCCTCCCCAGGGCCTGACTTTGTCTTCAACCTCTACCACACCTGGTGAGTGAGGAGGCCGTGCGGGGACCTGGGGCGGGCTGGGTGCTCCCTTCGCATGGTGCCAAAGTGTCACAAACCCTTGCCAGTCCCAAACCCACTGAGCTCTGCTGTTTGCAGGCGCTGCCTCCCCGGGACAGATGCTCTGGGGAGTCCCGGCTGTCTGGGGACAGCCCCCACCCCGTGGGCTGGCAGGGGCTGGAAGCAGGCAGGCAGCTCGCTGACTTCTCTGCCTTCCCTGCAGTGGGCTGGAGTCGGTGGCAGTGGAGCTGGTGCCGCCGTTCAGCATCAGCGGCTCGCTGAGCAGGGCAGGGAGCAGCTACGTGCCTTTCCACAACCGGGAGCCGTGAGGCGGGAGCCAGATTGGCGTGCAGGTAGGACATCACCCTGCTCCTCCCTGCCCGGCAATGGGTGAGCGGGTCCCCGGCTGTGTATGTCCCCCAGCACAGCCCACAGCAGCAGCGCCGTGTGGCTGCCCCGCAGTGCCTGGGAGCAGCCAGCGTTCGGAGTGGCTGCAGCAGTGGGTGCCTCTGTGAGGAGCCCAGGCGCTGGGCGAGAATGCTGTGCCTCAGAGCCTCCATGCCTCCTCGTAGCCCCTGGTCATTGCAGCTTTCCCTGGGATAGTCCCAAGGTTTTTCCTGCAAAAGTCCTCCCCACATCTGTGGGGCATCAGGGGCTTTCCCTGGGCTCTGGTTTTGTTTCCCTCCATGCAGGCTTTGGTTTGCATTTCCTTCCCCACGCCTCACTGTCCTTGGCGTGGGACTGGGCATGTGGCCGGGGGTGAAGGCAGCTCGGGGCTGGGGCTGGAGCCTGCGTGCTCCCTGCGCCGCTTCCCCATGCTGCCTCATGCCCACCTTCCAGCAGCGACAGAAAGAGCAACAAAAACCAACCATGGGGCAATTCCTCTGTTGCTTCTTTAAAAGACAGCCCCTGAATACGCTGGATTTCTACTGAAATTTTAACAGTGCAGTTTCTGTTTTTAAAAGAGCTTCTCCATCTGCTCCCCACAGCTGCGTCTCTCTTGCTGGCCCTCCCTGGCCACGGGCAGCGTGGGAAGGTGCCTGGGGCCGGCTGCTATCCCTGTGCTGGTGCACTGGAGCAGCCTCCCCTTGCTGGAGATGGAGGAACAGGGAGCTGCCTTATCTCGGGCTTCCTCAGCATGCATCTTTGAGAGAAAAGACGCCTTTCTCACAGCTCAGAGGCACCCCAGCCCTCAGGACCAGCCAGCTGCATGCCCAGGAGACCTTGGGCCAGGCTGTTGGTGAACAGGGCAGTGAGAGTGTGGGAAACCAGCTAAAAAGGGTGGCAATGAGCCACGGAACTGGATGGCTGGTTTTGTGCAATAGGGGAAAATGCTGTAAGGAAATGAGACTGCTTCAGACCTCCCTCCTTGGTCAAATATCTGAACCAATGTGGAAATTTGTCCTCCGCACTGATAGTGCAAGCAAACATCTCAGAAAGCCCCTGTGGGCTTTCTTGTGCCAGCCGCCTTCAACCTCAGCAGAGCAACCAGCCATGGAAGTGCCTGGAGCACAAGAGCAGCCCTGACAAAGTGCACCGCGGCCCTCGGAGCGGGGGCCCTGCCTGGCGGGTGGGGGCTGGCGAGGCACGAGGGCTTGGGCTGTTTCCTCGCAAACTCTTTTCCTTCTGAGAAAAAGGAAGAGAAACTCAGGAGACAGTGTGGCTGTGTGTGTAGGGAAACCGGTGAGGACAGAGCAGAGAGCCCCAGTCTGCGCCCTGGCTGGCGAGGGTGCTGGCGGCCAGCCGCAAGCAGAGGCCGTGGGATTGCCAGGGACGGGAAAGGGTCTGGGCTGGAGTGGGGTGAGTGTGGGACCCTGCCCGGGGGCCAGGAGGTCAGGCTCTGTGGCTTCGTGCCACCTTCCTACGCGCGAGACCCTGAGTGCGGGGTGGCTCTGCAGGCAGCTGGGGCAGGTGAAATGGCCGTGTCCCCCCCTCCCCAGCACCCTGCCTGGGGAAGGATACCGCTGGCCAAGAAACGCCAGCCCATGCAAAGCCTGAGCAACCCAGGCACTTGCCTCTTGCGCTATATGCCAGCCTGCGGTGGGACAGACGGACACCTGCACCCCTCCTGGCAGACCCCCTCTGCCTTCACCCTCCCTTCTCCTTCTCCGTGCCCACCGCACTGCAGGGTGTGTGCAATGCTGGGGGCTTCGCAACCCTGTTGTTGGAAATGCGTTGGAAACATTTGCGTAAGCTGGTGCCAGGGGAGGAAAGGTGTTTGTACGGGTGCAGCCCCTCGCTGGGGCGGCCGAGGCGCGGTGCTCCCTGCTGCAAGGAGGAGTCAGAGCCAAATGTCCTCCATGCGTTAGGCTGTGACTTAATTCAGGAAAATGTGAGCATCTGGGATTTCCAGAGAGTCGGAGGGACTGTCCGTGCTCTCGGCTATCGAAGCCGAAGCACGTGGTCTGTGGCTTTCTGGCAAACTCATCTGGGTTTCGTTGAAAGGAGAGCCCTGGCCGCTCACAGAGCCGGGGGCAAATGCTGCCTCTCTCGGCCCCAGGTGCTGCCCTGGACGCTGCCAGCTGCAGCCTTTCACGGCGAGCAGGAACCGGTAGCACCCGGCACTGTGTGGGATCCGGCCGCAGAGCTTGACGTCAGGAGCATTTAAAAGAGGAAAAAAAAAAAAAAAAAAAAAAAAGAAAAAAAAAAAGTTATGCTTCGTTTTGATGACTTTGTTTTTCAGAGGAAGTTGAAAAAAGGAAAGCAAAAACCCCCAAGCCCCAAAATACCCAGAGGCAGAAGAGATGGTGGAAGTGGAAGGAGGATGCCTGGCAGCAGGCACGCGGCTGGCATCGGCGTTGCCGCTGCAGCGGGGTGCCCACCATGGCCAGCGGCTGGGCCCTCCGTGTCACGCAGGGAGTGTGTCTTAAGTGCGAGTAGCGCAACGTCAGACGTGACAGAAGGAAACGTAGCAATGCATCAACAACCCTTCTCCTGACTGCGGTGATTCATGTTTTCACCTGAAAAAAAGTACTCCCCGAGCTGGGTTTCCATCAACAGTTTTAATGGGACTATCCCGCTGTGAAGGTTCTTGGAAACTAAGTGACTTTTGGAAAAACTCTCCAGTGACCTGGCAGTAGTCAAATGTAGCCCACGGTAAGTCATTCCCATCTCACACTTGTTTCCATTCTGACAGAAACTATTCCCCCACCCCCCAGTTTTGGCTTGTTCCGCTCTGCCCTGGAGGTGCTCCTGTCCTTTCCCAGTGCACCCCTGTGAAATCACCGCAAGCTGCCCAGGTCCTTTTCCCGGCTGCTCCTCCGGTGCGTGCTCCCACAGCACAACACTCGCCTGGGACAACTACCCTGGTCCTCAGATGAGTGTGAAGCTCTCAGTGGGCTGGCTTTGTTCTCCTTTTTTTTCAGTTGCGATGTGGAAATGCTCTTCCCCATGTGAGGCAAAGGCACGTTGCCCTTTGCTGCAGGGGAAAGTCCGTATCTGAAAAATGGAAAGCTCAGCTTGACCTTAGAGGAGGATGTACAGATGAATGGACCAAATAAATAACACCACATCCTTTCTGTATTTACAAATTAAATAGAATAAATAATGTCTGTATGCAACAGTTGCAGAACATGGATCATAGTGTGGGCAGGGCTGCCCTGGCTCATGCTGGGCTCGTATGGCAGCTGCTGCACGCATCCTGCACCCTGTCGGAGGTAGCCAGTGCCCCGGGTCTCTGCCATAGGGGCTGAATGCTGAAGGGCGTCCGTAGGGTCAGGAAAGTCCCTCGCTCCCTCCAAGTGAGGCCAGCCAGGATGGGAGCTCCGCGGTCCCAGCAGCAGGATGGCTGACGTCGGGCCGCTCTTCGCTTTTGATGTCTGTGTTGTGAAAGGTTGAGATGGCATCAGTGGCGCAGACGTCAGCTGGAGGAGCCCGGCGCTCGCCTGTGAAAGGGAGAAGTGGGGAGGGGAAGTGCAGGGCTGGCGCTGGCCCCGGCCCCCAGGGTGGCCCTGAATCCTGGGGCTTCGTGTCCCACGCTGGGCTGCTGGGGAGGGCAGACAAGGCAGGATCACCCTTTGGAAATGTCCTGGTGTGTATCCTTGGGCTTGGTGGTCAGAGGAGGCGGGGGGTGAGCCCCTCTAGCGCAGCTTGTCCCCGCGTCTTGTTAGCTTTACACCAGAGTCTGGCTGGAGGGAAGGTGCAGGGCGCACTGGGGGCTGGCCACAGTGGTACCACGGCCAAAGCAGCCCCAGAAGTAGCTAAGCTGGTGCTTCTCGGGCGAGTCTCGGCCGGGGCACCGCTCAGTTTGATGTATTAACATTCAGGGTTCGGTGGTAGCTTATCGGAGTAGCTGCTCCCCATGGGCAGTGGCTAGAAGAGGTAGTTGGGTCAGCGTGTGGGGCTGGCAGGCACCCGCTCCCCAGCATGGGGACGGCTCACAGGCGGCTGTCCTTGCTGTCCCCATTGAGCAGGCTCAGGGGGTTGATTTGCAGCGTGAGCCACTCATTGGTGCTGAGGCTGGAGATGAGGGGCAGCGTCCCCAGGAGGTCAGTGTTGAAGATGCTCAGGTCGAAGGGAGCTTTCAGGAGCTCGGGGCCAGCTTTGGAGGCCAAGGGAGCACCCGGAGCCCCATAGCTTAGCAGAGTAGGGGCTTGGAGCTCCACCTGGCTGGAAAAGTCCCAGGCAGTGGGCTCCCGAGGGACCCCCCATGGAGCAAAGTCCTGTGCGTGGCTGCGGGGATGCTCGGGAGAGGACTGCTTCAAATACCCTTTGGCTACAGCCAGCTCGGAGCACTCTACATCCAGCGCGATGTCAGTGCTGCCCGGGCCCTGCGGGGATCCTGCACAGCCTGAGAAGGGCACCCCCTTGGCTGGGTCCTGCCTTGGCTCCACTGTGCCCTTGGACTGTTGCAGGTACCCACGGAACTCCACGTCTTGCTGGCTGTCCTGGCTGGCGGCAGGGGAGAGGCTGAGCTCCCCTCCACGGGGCTGCCTGGCCTCCGCAGGGCTGGCGTTCCCACTGCCGGAGGAGCATGTGGGGTGAGGGCGGGTGCTCCCCAAGCCCACGCCACTGTCATCACCAGTGGGCAGCTGCCGCTTGTAGCCCTGGGGCTCGTGGCCTGGGGAGCAGCTCAGTTCAGAGGAGGTGTGCAGGCAAATGCCGCTGTCGGTGCTGGTGCAGCTGCTGTCTCCGCTCCTCGTGGCTCCCGGCCCCAACAGGCACACCCGCTCCTCGGGCCATGCTGGGAGCCTCCAGCCCTTCTCCAGGGGCAGCTGGGCTGTGCCGGTGCTGCCATCGGAGCCACTGTGCTGCCGGGGCTCCTTCTGGCACAGGAACAGCTGCTGGACAGGGTCTGTGTCTGGGCTGCCCGAGGACGAGGACTCCTGCTCCACCCAGAGCGAGCTCTGCTTTATGAAAGTCTTCTGGGAGGGAGAGAAAAGAGGGGAGTGAGCTGTGCTTTGTCCCTGCTTGTTGCCTGCCTCTCTCAACAGCTACCCGAACCTGCACCCTCGCGCCGGCTGCAAAGGGTGCCGCGTGCCCGGCTGCCTTACCAGGACGGATGGCGGCCTCACGGGTTTCTTTATGTAGGTGCACACCAGCAGAGCCCCCAGGAGGCCCAAGAGCAACAGGATGATGAAGGAGGAGCTGACGACGGTCAGGACAAGCTTTGCGCTCCCTGCAAGAGAGGACGTGCCCAGGTGAGGGGGGGAAAGGCAGAGTTCTCGGTGCACATAGCACGAAGGCACTGCAGCGGGGACATGGAGCGGCTGCCCTGGTGCGGACCCCCGCACCTCCAGGGCTAGGAGGCTGAGGAGGATCTGCGTCCCACAAGGTCCCCCCTTCCCTGGCTCCCCTGCCACTTACTGTCCCTCTTGACGATGGTGACACACTGCTCATTGGTGCGCGTGGCGTGGATGTGCCGGCTGGCCACGTCGGGCTTCACGCTGATGCAGTACTCCATGTCCCAGAAGAGGTTGCTGATGTTGAACTCCAGGGCGTTCTCCACTACTTCGTACTGCAATGACCAGAGCGCGGGCTGGTACCTGAGAGCCCCCAGCTCCTGCAGGAGTGCTGGGCCTAGTGCTTTCCTCCCTCCTCCTCCACTGTCCCCTGGGGAAAGTCCCCAGGGTGCTTAGCAATACCGCTGACGGCAGCTAGACCCAAAATCCCAACAAGAGTTGGGGAACCTACTGCAGTAGAACGTTCAGAGAAATCTCTCTGCAACGTTGTGGCTGTGAGAAAGCTCAAAATTAAGTTTTACAGAAGACTGTACTTCAAAAATGTGTTTTTCAACTTAAGCAGCACTGTGTGTGACAGATGGGGACAGCATGGGACCAGCAACTCATCTCACCGTCTGATTGTCCTGTGCCCTCCTGACATACACCAGGTATTGCATCGAGTTCTTCTGTATGTCGTTGTATTTCACGGTGAGGTTCCCCACTCTAAAGAGCAGCTGCAGCTGCACGTGGACAGTGTTGCCGGTCACCGAGAGGGTCTGGCCCGACAGGCGCAGGCTGGCTGGAAACAAGTCAGTTGGAAGAGCACGTTAGGGTTTTCTCCTGTTTGCAGCTCTAAGAGCCTTTGCAGCAGTGGATTGAGCTGTGACTGTTCCCCGCAGCCAGTGCCGCCTGTCCTAGGTTTGTCCCATCCCATCCCACAGCCGGGCTGCCTCCCAGTAAGGTGTGAAGAGAGAGACATCCCCGCTCTCATCTGTCCTAGAGTTCTTCCCAAGCAGTTTGGCACCCTGACCACTGCCATCCTCGAAGCCTCCTGCCCCCAGCCGCAGGGTGGAGGCAGACACCCGACCTACCTTCTTGTGGGGAGAAAGAGTTGGTCCTTTGCCACGGGGACGTGTGGTTTCCAGACACGGCCCTGACCCGTGCGTAGTAGCGCAGGGCAGGATCCAGGGTGTAGTACGTGAGGTCGCAGGAGTGCCCCGAGATCTTCCTGCAGTTTGGGATGGCTGTCCAGGAGGAATTCGTGCCATAGCTGCAGGGAGAAGTGCCTGGGGTGAGAGCAGTGCGGGCAGGTGCCAGGGACTCAGTTGTCACCGCTGTTGGTGTCAGATCCTGGGCAGGGGGCGAACCCCCTTGCGCCCCCATCGCTGTACTCACACTCTGTGCTCCACTTCGTAGCGGACATCACTGGGGGGGTTGCGTCCCGGCTCCCACCGCAGCAGGTGATGCGCTATCTCCGCAGCAAAGTGCACGCGCGTGGGGCTCGCCAGCTTCTCACCTGCGGGACCGAAGGCGAGCGTTAGGCGAGGCTGCACAGCATCCCGTCCCGCTGGTGCCCTCAGAAGCTGGGCAGAGCTCCTTGCGATTGCCTCCTCGATGGCTCACCTGGAGCTTGACCCCCTGTGTTCAGCAGTGACCGCCCACCCACCCGAAAAGCGCAAGGGTTTGCCCCGGCCTGTCCCACTTCCAAGTTTCAGAGTTTGCTCGTCCCCCTCTTTCCCTTCCTCTCTCTTCTGGGGAGAGCCCAGCTCAGCCCAGCCGAGAGGATCTCGGTGCTTTTCTGGCCCTGGAAAGGAGCCTGCTGTATTTGCATCTCTGACCGCCCCTGCCATTTGCTAGCAGCTCTGTTTGGATTCAGCTCTCTGTTTTGCTTATCTGCTGTCTGGAAGAAACAGACTTTTTCACACCTCCTGCCTGAATTTCGGTCTTGTCACCTGGTGGCAAAACATCGCTAGATAACATCTGTCACCCTTTCTGTGCTGGTTTCCTCAGCAGCCGCTGTCTGCCAGCAAACACTAAGCCGCGCCACTGCCTGGGGAGGACGGCTGTCAGCAGAGCACCGCGCTAGCGACCGGGGCATTTCACCGCAACACAAGGCACCGTGGTCCACACTGGTGGAGATAAGCAAGGCTGATGCCTGAGGACTAATGCAGCCTTTAGGCTCCCAAACAGTGAAGAAAGGCGAGTGGTGAGCAGGGAGCCCTGGCCGTGTCCTGCTCCGAGCAGGCAGGAGCCTGCGGGCCCTGCCAGCCTGAGCTCTGACCAGCCAGCAAAGGTGTCCAAGCTGCAGCTCCAAAGCGCAGCAGCTCCGCTCTCCACCTGCCCCGCGTGCCTTCCCCCGTGCCGGGATCTTGGGTGCGGAGGGGAGCAGAGCAGAGCAGCCTGCCGGGAGCCGTGGGGCTCAGACGCAGCGAGCGGGTAGCTGAAGACCAGCGTGCTGTGGGCAAGAGAGACTCACCGTCAGTCTTCCAGGCCAGGAGCAGTGCCACGCACAGTGCCAGGGCTGTGGAGGAGGGGGCCATGCCGGCTGCGCATCCTCTGCGGGCGCTAGGCTGGGCGAGCAGGGTGCCGAGCTCTGCTCTGTCGGGCTGCCGAATGCTTGTTTTTCCCCTGGAGGCTGGCTCAGTGACGTCTTGGAGGTGGTAGCGCAGTGGGAGGAAAGTAGCTGTGTAGCGACTTCCACTTTTCTTTACTGTCCACCCACTGACACGCAGCTAATCTCTCAGCCCAGGTTGGGCATTTCCTACAAGCAGCCTTAAAGGAAGAGCTTTGGGGGCTTTTCTGAACAAAACGGTACATCGCTGAGAAGGGGAAAATAAATCACGTGCCTGCCTTTGCTGCTTCATTATTAAACGAGATGTTAAAAGCACAGCACAGGGAGCGAGCGTTAGCACCTAGGATGACCCGGCACAGGGATTTTGCTGAGCACGGGACCTGCCCAGCAGCGTCCCCTTGGGTCAATGTCCTGTCCTGCCAGTGGCTAAAGCCGGCCAGGTCGTAGCCAGCCCTGGGCAGCCCTGGAGCCCCAGGAGGGGGTTCTTGCTTTCCCTTCCTTTGGGCTCAGCCCAAAGTCTGCAATTCGCCTTTCCCCGTTTCTGGGGTCGAGTGACAACCTCTGGCCTATTATGTGTCCCGCAAACACCTACGCACATGGGTGGCATCGCAAGCTCTGAAGTCGGGTGCAGCAGAGGGGGCCGTAAGCTGTCCCTGGGGCTCTGGCAGCTGTCAGCCAGACCCAGGGTCCTGGTACAGGCTGATGCGAGTGGCTGCGGGGCTCTGGCCCCACGGCGATGTCCTACCTGTCTGGTGATGCTGGTCTCAGGTGCTAGGACCTGAATTACCACCGAGCGGACCACGAGTCCTCTGCTTTGCCTTCTGGCAGGCTGAATTACAACAGAGCTTGCTTGAGGGCTTTCCTGGGGCCTGTGCAAACCCAGGGGCCCTCATGTGATGGAGAGCAATCAAGAAGAGGAATTTCCCACTGTGGAATTAGTGGAAAGGACACAGATAAAAAGAGCAAGAGAAACCGAGAGTGCTCTGGACAGCCTCAGAAAGCTTCAGAGCAGTCCCTGGCTTGGCAGGCATAGAGGCGCAGGACCTCGGGTCTCCTTGCCGCAGCAAAGTGGCTCCTCAAACAGCCATCTTAAATGCCCAAAGTGGGAGATTTCTGCTTTTTCTCCTGACTCTGAACAGAGTCTGGCCCCTGACTCATCCTTCCTGTTAAAGCGCACGAACTCGCAGCCTTGCCAGAGCACCAGCAAATTCATCAGCTGCAGGCTGGGCCCAGCGGTGGAGCTGAGCTGTCCTCCGGTACCTGGCAGCAGGACCTCGGGCACGGCACGGTGGCATGTCTGGCTCACACGGCACCCAGGGACACGCAGGCTTTGGCTCCGCTCCGCCGGGGCCATGGGGAATACAGGCACGGGGCAGTGGTGCTGGGTGCCCAGCAGTGGGGAGAGGCTCTCCCTTGCCGACGGCCGTACCTCTGCTGAGGACCAGCCATAGGGATGGGCAGGGGAGGAGGCTCCAGCAGCAGATCCCCTCCCTGGCTTCACCCTGGCTTGGCTTTATTCTACCCTCTTTGGGAGAGCAGCTGATGCCCTGTCACTCTGCTATCAGCTCATGAGTCAAATCTGGCAGCCACTGAATTTAGGAGTACTGAGATGAAGCACAGCCCATCCCACACAAAGCCACAGCTCGTGTTTCATGTAAAGGAATTAAAATCAAAAGCAATGGGACCAAAAATGAGGAAGGAGGAAGCCTTGTGGAAAAGACACCGCAGGGCTGGTCCTGTGGGTGAAGCAGTTCAGAGGCTTGGGAGAAATGGTTGGCAATTTAGGGGAAAATGAAATAGACTGAGGAGAAATGGCAGTTCTGCTGAATGCTCAGACTGTGAGTGGCGCGGCCACCCTGCGGTGCTCCTGCTGGCACCCGAGCTGCCGCACGGATGCGGGCACAGCCAAGTGCCACAGGAGGAGCTGGTGCCGGGACAGTGCAGCAGTGTGTCCCCTCGCTGCCCGCTCCACGGCTCGCGGTGCAGATGCTGCCCAGGATCCCTGTCTTGTCAGTGCTTTCCCCTCATCCTCCATGAAATGCCACTTGGCATCCTTGAGGCTGCAGACTTCGTGTCTCTGTGCTACCTTTGCTGCCACCAGCTCTGCTGCGAGGGGCCCCAGGGAGGGAGCCGCTGTCTCGCAGGGAAAGGAGGGCAGACCCATCTTCCCAGCCCGAGGCAGGCAGGCACAGCAGCCCCTGCCCGGCACGCAGCCCTGTCCTGCGGCCATGCGCTGTGCTGAGGCACCCCCCAGCCCCTGCAGCCCCTGCACAGGCAGGGGACCTGTCGATAACAACAGACGAGCTTTGCATCAGGCGTTGCTGACCACCCGAAGCACCACGTTAAAACCAAAGCATCACAGAAAAGAGCAGCCCCACGTTTTCAGTGTCGGCAGGAGAGGTTTTGAGTTCACAGGTCAAACCAGCCCTCGAGAACGCTGCTGAGTTTCCTTTTCATCTTCAAAATAATTGACTAATCTTTGAATAGGAATAGCCATGTTTTTAATAACTTGGAAATCACCTGAGTCAGAACCACACAGCAGGTCTTTCCCCAGAGCCTCTGCAGCTCCTCTCGGGGGCAGCGAGGGCTGGGAGCTGCAGCTGCCCCAGCCCCGGCCCCGTGCCCCGCTCCTGCCGGGACCCTCCTGCCAGCCGCTAGCCCCGGGCACCCGCTCGGCAAAGGGGCTGCCCATGTCTGCGGGGCAGGCTGCAGAGCAAAGCACATCCTCGGCTCTGTCCTCCCACCTGCCTGGCTGCTGCTCCCTCACACGGCACCCACATCCTGGAGCTGCTGCTCTGCAGCCGCAGCTGAGGTTGCCGCAGCCTCAGCAATGCCAACGGCTTCGGCACAGGCAAGGCTGGAGTGGGGCTGGGATTCCCAGCAGCCCTCAAGCCCTGCAGGTGATGCGGCTGACCCTGAAATATCCCCTCGCAGGCCACTCTGTCGGCCGGGCAGGGTGACACCACCGCAGAGAAACCTAGCCCGGAGAACACCTGGCAGAGCTGGTCTCTGCTTTTCCCTGCCCTCCACCACTGCGGACCTCGGGGAGTTTTGCCCAGGGCGGTAGGGGGATCGTACAGCCCCGGAGGGGACAGGCTCAGGCAGCGACACTGCACCGTGCGGCGCAGGGCTCGGGCTGGGGCCGGAGGGCTGGTTCTGTGTGGGCGCTGCCCTGCTGCAGGACAAAGCGCTTTGCCTGGAAGAGCGGAGCTATCCTCTTCCCTTCCTCATTCCCTCATGCCTGGAGGTCGCAGCACAGAGCGGAGGAGCCGCCGGGCTCTCCTGGGCTGGCAGTGCTGGCTCCGGCTGTGCGTGCTATTAGCACCTCCTTTGCTAGCGGGAGGGCTGGAGGGTGCAACAGGGCTCATAGGAGCGGTTACCAGCAAGAAAGTGCAAGGATTTCACCTGGGAGGTGTTGCACACACATGACATTTAACATAAGGTTGCCGGGGTCAAGCCCAGACACATCGTTCTCTGTAATTTGCTTTCCGTAGGTGGCTTTGCAGAAAAGCAAGCAATCATTCCTGGAGCTGCCACCTGGAGCTACTTTCTGAGAATCCCTTTTCAGACGAGGACGTGGCAGCTTGCATGGGCATGCGGGCAAGGCCAGCTCAGGACTGTCCAGGGACGCAGTTCGCTGCTTGGCCAGCCCCTGCCTCCCTCTGCCCCTGCTCCCCAGCGGGGCAGAGCCCTCAGAGGCAGGGGGTGGCTGCAAAAAGCAAACAAAATGCTGTTAGTCCTGTGTGTGAAAACTAAAAAGGGGTGTGCTGCAGAGCGAGGGCTGGCTCAGAAACCACCGTAGAAGCCGGGGATCGCCAGAGCAGGCGGCCTGGCTCGTGGCCACCGCCGCAGGCAGCACTTGCCCTGGGGACT